ACTTGAAAATAGCACGTTGTCTTATATTGACCCAGTGTAAATTTTTAAAGATGGGATTTATATGATGATGGCGAGGTGTTAGGGAAACAATACGGGCAGTAGAATTTTGGACTCTTTGTAAACGCAATTGTGACATCAGGTAAAAAGATAAAAGAATTACAATAATCTAATTTTGATGAAATAAAGGCGTGAAAGTGTTTCGACAGATTTGGTGAGAATTATTATTATTATTGTTGCTGTAATTATTATTATTATTATTATCATTTATATTACTAATATCATTATTATTATTATTATTATTATTATTATTATTATTATTATTATTATTATTATCATTATTATTGCACATACTGTAGTTTAAATTTGTATCATATTCTACTCTCATAATTATTTTGATGTCATTTAGAAAAACACTTTTTTTCTTTTGACTTTTTTATTTATTATTTATTTATTATTATGATTATTATTAATTATTATTATTATTATTATTATTATTATTATTATTATTATTCTTATTATTATTATTATTATTATTATTATTATTATTATTATTATTACTACTATTATTACTATTATTACTATTATTATTATTATTATTATTATTATTATATTTTATTTTATGTACATACAGTACCGTAGTTTAAAGCAAGTTATAATATGGTAGCTGACATAGGCCTATGTATAGGGAAGACTTTTCTTTGTTTCTACCATCTTCTATGACAACATAAAAATTATAAATTATGAATTAATTGCCCACCATCAGTGTTGCCTTGTCTGGATATAGGCCTACGACAGGCTATTCCTTCCCAGCCATCTTTGCAAACACATTCACCGGACCTCTTGCAATACCTGGTGTTTTTTGGAATACAACTACAATTCTGACTGCAGTCAACTCCATAATTCCAATCAGGACATGGATTTTTACATTTACTTCCTCTCCAGCCTTCCACACAGTTACACTTCCCATTGGTCTTGTTATAGGAAACAATGTTTTCTTGTTCGCATGTATGTATTTTGAGGCAACATGCTCCATAGAAAGGGTCGGGGCAGCTGACATTACAATAACATCCATGCAATCCAAAATGACAGTGGCACACCGAAGAATGGTTGGTGCAGACATAGGTGGTGTTGTGTTGTATGGACTCCGACCTGCACTCACATTGTTTTTCACATTGTGGCCCAAACCATCCCGGTTTACAGACACACACACCAGAAGCACACACTGCAGAATTTGGTGGATTAGAGGAGGACAGTGATTTCACAGACATGATTAAACTCAAAATGCCAATGGTTACCTATAAACACGCAATAAAATTATGATCACAATGGATACAGCACTATAGAAATACCGTATTTATTCGAATTAACGCCCCATTTTGAATAAACGTACTGTGGCGCTTATTTTTTCCTCGAATGAACGCCCTTTAACAAAACTAATGGAAGCAACATCATTCTCAACAAATTCTATTAATATTCTATTCCAGTAGAATTACAATTTTTCGAACCTGGCTGGGATTAAAAAAAGTTATTTTGGCGGTAATTTAAGTGTTGTAGTTCCACATTTACAAAGAAACTAAGTTGCGTTTATTTGAGTGTCATATCCATTTTATACCAACAAAATAAAATAAGCCCCCCCCCCCAAAAAAAAAGCCCTTCTCAACAACAATCTTAAGGGCCGTTTATTCAAATGGGAATACTATTTTACTTTTCAACTTCCTACCATAAAACATAACCAAGTATACTTCGACATAGGCCTAGCGAGTAATTACGGTAATTAACTAAAATAATTCTGAAATTTTTATCCTCTATCAGCTAGCCAACAGGACGACTGGTAACGATAAATCTACATAGTAAAGTTTACACTAGGTAAAATCAAAACAGTGAATATTGACAACAATAATATTTGTCCAAAACTAATGCATACATAATTTGATACGCAATGCTGAATATAAGTTATATATTGTTTAATTTTAAAGGAATAAAACGTGTTCTTACCGTAGATATATACATTTTCACTTCTGTCTAAAATCATGGAGCCAAATATACGACAAACAACACAATTGTTTTTATTTTTTGTAATGAAATGGCGTTCTTGTGATGTTGTTTTAGTGAGTACGGTACTGTATTTATGTTTCAGTGAAGTTGGGTCTCGGTTTTGCTACAAGGGTGTTGGACACTGTGCCATCGTCATTCTCAGCTTCCTGTCAATCAGCTTATTTTATACTGTATTTTGTTAAATTTGAAAAAAAATAGACTTAAATTTATTTATTTCTATTAATCTGAAAGAGCATACATGAAAATACAGAGATAATAAATTGTATAATGCACATTGTACATGTCGCTTGTACATTTAGCATGTCTGAATAGCAGAGGACACAACTGGCGTTCTGCGGCGTCAGTGATAATCAATAATGATGATGATGATTCACTGAAAAAATTTCCCATTTTTCGATGGTTCACTCGATTATGTACTAATGAGGCAACACACGTGGTTACGTGCTTGTGCATTCTTTTTGTTTTTGAGCCTGCTCTAATGGAAAAGGATACAAGGATAACGGAAAATATATGTTATTATTTTTATTATTAAATGCACAATTATTTAAAAAAAAAAGACATGAACTGTCTTACATATAATACATTACACTAAATCGGATGTAAATGATTAATGACTCAATACTGGGAATTTCCATTTCTATATCAGTTTGTTCGATCGTATAGCAATATAGGTCCGACTGTATTTCTGATATGTTTTAAGAAGAAAACAATTGAACAATATCTCAGGTATAATGTTTAAATTGTTCTTAAACTGAGGGGATATTTGCTTTAGGAAGATCTGTGCAAAGCTATTGAATAGTAAGGCCCAATTGAATACTGTAGACCCAACGGAATTGATGACTGGGCCTGTAAAGGGGTGTCTACAGTATAAACTGATTCTCTTACAGATTGTATTGACAGTACGCTGGAATCATGAAGAGAGAATAGACCTAGATTAGACATAAGGTAATATTTTAGACAACTCGCATAGGCAAATTATTTGTTTGTAATTAGAAAATTCGACCAATTTTGCAAGTCAGAGATTATAAAATTTATTTGGCCATGAAAATCGATCAATAAATGTACACCAGGTCCCCCCCCCCACCATCCTCTGTTCTCCTCCACTGCTGTCAGGAAATGCGTATGTAAAAAAATGACCAGGCGAAGTTTTAGCCTGATTTATCTTGGAGTCCTGCAGTTTGTCTGTTAGACGTTAAACTTTAAAACTAACTTGAAGATCTTATTTTGATAGGCCTATTATTGTTTACCTTTTGCAGTGTTATGTTATTGCTTGCGCCGCAGACTATGCTGGCTTTATCAGGTGCAGTATGATTACATTTAGTCTATAGGTCTAGTGCACGTGCTGTTTTATCCTCAAATGGATGCTTTGTCGTGAATGTTTGGGTCGCGAAGAAATTTTGATGGGTCGCGCAATCGCTTCAAATAAAAATAAAATTATGGTAGCAAACGAAAGTACCGACAAAAAAAAAAAACAAAAAAAAACCCGATGAATGTGAGTAAAGCGCTTGGTTCCACAAAATCGCTAAACGCTATAGCCGACAGTTTTCGTTGACACTAATTGGTTGGGGGGGGGGGGCAGCTTTCCCGATTACCACGGGGCCTGCGACGTAAGAGCAACGATTGCAGTAAAAGAACTGTAGCGATTCTTATACGCGATGAAATATATGGTTCATATCTGAATTCCATGTATTAGATGAAAAGACTGAAAACAGTGGCCCTATAACTTGAGGATCAATATTGCCGCTCCAAAGTCGGATTGATTGAAACTTTCTGTCGAGAAGTAAACAATCGCATAACGGGTATTAAATTTGGTGATCATTTTTTATGTAACAAATATGTACACTTTCAAATTTTAATTCCCAAAAACTGATTCTGAACCTATGGTACAGAATAACTTTCTTTGCTGTCAACAAAACTTCCTGAAAATAACAATATCGTGAGTAGAATTTCTTTAAGTTCGAATAAATATTGTAGTAATTACTTTTCAAATAAAGTGTTAAACAATACTTGGTGTGTTAGTGTCATTTATCTGTCTAAAGCTGTTTAAACACATGTAGAAAATAAAATTATTAAAAAAAAAAAAAAAAAAAGAAAAGAAAAGAAAAACTAGTGCGTGCTTCCAGTAAACACCGATATCTCTCGCACATGGTCAAAATGTAAATGTACGTCCTCGAATATAGAAAATATCGATCGAAGTAAAATACAAGGTATAACTAGGTATTTTTATACTTTTTACATTTAAATGACATCTTTCTTTAAATTAAAACATAAAATTAAATAATGTAAGGAAACTATAAATTCAAGGTAGTGGGTAAATCAGCCAAACCTGACCACAATAATCAGGGACGCGTCCAGGGGAGCCGCGCCCCCCCCCCCACTCTCCTTTGTACACAGTGTTAAAATGTTAAAGCTTGTTTTTGAGCCAATACAAATTCTTTCCTGTGATCAATGGATACTTCTAACTACGTATGCATCAGTACTCGTTATACACAGGTCTAGGCCTACTATAACACATGCTTAAGCGTGATTTTTAAAAATCCATAAATCCCAGGACAAGTTTTTTAAGATACAGAAACGTGATACTGTATGGTTCAGTTTGGTTTTTATCCTTTTTTATAATTATAGTATTATGTATAACGTGCTCTGACGCATATTTACATTATTATTCAAGTATTCATTTTGAGTGATCCAAGGAAAGAATTTGTATTGGCTAGCAGGAACAAGCTTTAAAATACTAACATTGTGTACAAAGGAGGGGCAAGCCGCAGCTCTCGAAGCCCCCCTCCCCCCACCCCTCCCTGGATACGTCCCTGCATACATGAAAATAGAGACCAAAGACAATGTAGTATTCGCAGATCAAAGCATGACTGAGTAACAGCAGCGAAGGCACAACCGGCGTCCCATACATTACTCGATACATGCCAATTTTCATTGACTGCATGACGCACTGTAGGAAATTCCAGCCTTTGAATGGTTTACTCGATTACTGCAGGGAGATGTAACACTGCAGTAAACGTGTGCATTTCTTGTTTTTGAGCCTGCCCTAATGAAGAAGAAAACAATATATCGGACAATGTATGCTTTTTGTATTTCTGCATACTCAATAGGCATGTTTTAAACATGCCTATTGACAGTAACTGTTTTACGTATAATACATTTAATCGGATGTCAATGATTAATGACTCAATGCCGGGAATTCCCATTCTTTATCGGTTCATTCGATAATGTAGCAATATACAATAGGTCCTGCTGTATTTCTGACTTGCTTAAAATTGTATTGGCCTAAAGGAGAAGAAAAAAATTGAACAATATCTCAGGTATAATGTTTTAGCTCTCCTTTAAACCTAGGGAATATTTTGCTTAGGGAGATTTGTAAAAAGCGAATGAATAAGGTCCAATTGAATAGACCCAATGGGAATTGACTACTAGGCCTGGAAAAGGGGTGTCTATACGAATCAATAGACATCTTGAAGGGATGACAATCAACCCAAGTCAGGGGTGCGTAACCAACAGAAATCAGATAAGCTTTAGGCTGAATTCTTGTCCTCATGTTATCTAAAAATTCATAACTCTATAACAGAGGGTCGTATCACATAAATTTTTTTCTGGAAAATGTTCTCAAAATATTATTCTACACCACTTGTAGCTAAACGCTCATACAGCGGGCATCTTGACCTAAGAAAGTTATTTGGTAAGGCCCCATAAACAATTATTAGTTTATCACCTTCCAATCACTTTTGGTGAAACTCGGATTTTTTTTTTTTTTTTTTTTTTTTTTTTTTATCAACATATATTTTTACTGTATTTCAAACTGTCGTTTTTCCATTATTTCACTTGAAAAGCTCAGGATTTCTTGCAAATATGTTTACTGGTACAACAAAAACATATTTTTTTTACAAATTTGATTCCATTCTTATGACTTTTTATATAATGTGTCCCGAAGCATTGATTTACTTGTGAACATCGGTAAAATCTCCCTCCCTCATCAGTTTTTTTATTCTTTGATAGGGTGATATTTTTTATGGGGCTATCGACATCGTAAAAGTGATTATTAACCTGTCGAAAGGTCATTTGATGGGTTTTTTTTGTTTTTTTTTTAATCTTAGGCCTAGTATCGGTGTCCAAACTATTAATTTATATAGGCTAGGTCTATCCAATTCAAGCCAACATTGGAAAACGTTTTAAAATAATATTTGTTTTTATTCCCCGACGATTCTCCAACTTCCCTGACGGGAAGGGTCCCCATCAAATTGGATTTCGCATTGAATTTATTTGTCCATAAAAGTCGATTTAAATGTACCCCAGGCACAAGTCCTGCTCCCTCCTGCCCCGTTCCCCTTTACTGTTGTCTGGAAATCTTTATGCAAAACAAAATGACCAGGCGGACTTTAGCCGGGGACCTTATTTTCTTGAGAGTTTTGCAGTCTATGTTTAATTGTTAGACGCTAAGCTTTAAAACTTGAAAATCATAGGCCTATTATATTTGTTTACCTTCTGCAACGTTATGTTATTACTATCAAATATATAGGAAAAGGAAAGATAAGAGAATAATAAATATTGATTTATATTTATGAAATATATATATATATATATTTGTATATAATGTGTTTACGATGCTACGCTAATTTTTAGTATTAGTAAAAAGTATTTATTTGAATAAATGCTCCTCGAATAACTTCCCTCTCTCCTAGAGCCTCATTTAAATAAAACCGCTCCGAGCGTTTATTTTTCCCTCGAATAAACGCCTTTTCCACCCCTAAAGGAGGAGCGTTTATTGTTTTCAGAAGGGTTTGTGAGGGGCGTGTATTCGATGGGGCGTATAATGTACCGTATACGTACCGGTATATACTCAAATAAACACCCCTTAATTTCACTGTAAATACGGAAATACAACACATAATTTACCGTCAAAATGTGTTATTGCGTGGTCATAAAGACTTATTAATCTCAACCACTTTAAAAAAAATAGAATTCTACTAGAACATTAATAGAATGTGTTGAGAATGATGTTCATTGTTACTTCGATTATATTTTTTTAGTTATTTAGGATGGAGTTTATTCGAGGAAATAAGCTCCTCGGGGCGTTTATTCGTGGACCATTGTTGTTTTTCAGTCGTTTGCCTTTTAATTCAAATACATTTAATAAGAATGTAGCAAACTGGACTAGCTGTATATAGTGAGTGCATATAGCACTAAAGGCCTATATATAGCCTTATATCACTGTTCCGAGTACTTGTTTTCTCTCGTGCTACAACGGCTCACCTTTGTAAGACATATACTCGTCACCATTACTGACGCTTGTACTTTCAAAAGCTAAGGCTGTTGCCTTCACATACACTCATCCGTCGTTCTGTTTCTCTTTGGAAATCATTGCCTTCATACTGTTTTCCTTATGTTTACCAACCTTCACAACTTAAGTTTCTCGTGAAACAATAAAGTTTGACATATCTTTTCTTATCTTAATAATAATGAAATATTGTCGTCGTTATATTTATCGAGCCATTTTTACACTTGTATAATTAATTTTGTTAGGCATTTGCCAACGGAAAATGAATTTCTTTATTTGTATTTTACGAGAAAGACAATAAAGTTCGAAAGTTATCTAAATTAAAAATACTGTAACTTTATTTTACGAGGACAATAAACTTATAAAATTAAAGTTAGTAATTGTATGAATATTTAGCTGTATCACAAGGAAGTGTATCACTTGTTTTACAGAAACCAAAATGTCTGCCAAGAAGAAAATTTCCAATAATGCAGTTGCAATGACTGACATTGCATCGGTACCTGTGAGATTTCCAAACAAGACACAAAAGCAAATGAAGTCAGCAGATATCTTACGAAAACCACAACCAATCACCGACAAGAGAATTAAACCGACTTGTGACCAGTTCGTTTTGGACCCACATCCCACTGGAGCTGAATTGAAAATGTGTAATCTCTTCAGACACCCTAAAATCAATCACGACGATTTCCTGGTTCTCCACGTTCACGTCGATTTTCCAGGCAAGAATCTGTTTGAGTTTCTTTCTAATGGATTACTTGTAAGCCAAAGGCCTTACAGAGGAAAGCCAAAGCGGTACATATTTTTTGGTCACAGTGCTTCTCAACTAAGGAACAGAACTTGCTTCTTGTACGACGAGAAACTTGGCGACTTTAATGATATCATACAAATGTTTGGAGATTTCAGCTGCATCAACAACGTTGCCAAGAGGGCAGCACGTATTGGATTGTTGCTCTCTACCGCAAACGAGGTGCTACAACTGCGAGATGATGATATCACTAAAGAGACAGACATAGAACGAGATGGATATAACTTTACAGATGGTTGTGGGTCAATATCAGTAGAATGTGCGACTAGAATAACTGAGGCAATGGGTCAAACGGAGCTGTATAAACACCAAGTTCCTCCAGTTCCATCGGTCTTTCAAATAAGATTAAAAGGATGTAAAGGAGTGTTAGTTGTTGACCCAAAGTTACCTAGAGGGATCAAGATAAGAAACTCATTGGTAAATATCTTATTTATATAATTATAATGTATTGTATCAGTGCATAATGATAATAATAATAATAATAATAATAATAATAATAATAATAATAATAATAATAATAATAATAATAATAATAATAATAATAATAATAATAATAATTTTATTTTAACCCTAGTTTGTATTGTACTGCAGGAAAAGTTCTCTTGGAAATTATCTGAGCCCCACATCCTTGGAGTGGTTGATGATGGGATCTCCAAGCCATATGCGTATGGTAACCTAATTAAGCACTTCATACGGATTCTGTCAGCTCTGGGTGTTCCGGATAAAGCGTTTCTTAAGCTACAGACATCGTTCTTTGAAGAACTACACCAGCTGGAAAAAGACAAGTGGATAGCAATTAAACACTTATACATAAGTGGGCGTTCTGATCTTGCCGAAAGAGTGATATCCATGACATATGATTACTGTTCCAACCAAGAAATCAGAGAAAAATTAGAGAGCATTCGAAGGAAGGTCTTTGACGATAGAAAAACTGGTGCCTCTGATAAGCTCGAACGAACCAAGAAGTCTAAAGCTGAAGGCCTGAACATCAGAGCAGAGTTGTCAAGGAATGTCTTTGGGGTATGTGATAACTCTAACACACTCGAAGAAGGCACTGTGTTTTTCCAACCAACCATACGTGGAAAACCCGTTGTTATTAAAGGGAGAGTAATCGTTGCTAAAAGCCCGAGCTATTATCCTGGCGATATTAGGGTACTGACATGTGTAGACAATAAACACTGCAGACATCTTGTTGACTGTGTGGTCTATCCCGTAAAAGGCAAGTCAATTTTTAAGAACAGAATGATTACTGAAAAAACACAGTTGACAACATTTAAATTGAATATTCATTATACAATAACTCGAATAGAATAAAACATTTACTGTATATCTGTCCAAAGACAGTGGCCCGTGTTCTGCTTTTATTCTTTCCTGTGGCTGAATAATGATTCTGCCTGAATATTATGAATAAACGTTTTACAGCAGAATTGACATTGTAATTAAAAATATATTAAATAACGATTCTGTTCTATGCCGATACTCATCAACGCTTGTTCAGCATATAGATGTTTACACATCTCACACCCCTTTGTTATCACAATTTGTTTTCAGTGTGTGATAGACCTGTGTACCAATCAATGAACAACTAGCATCTTTGAGATAATAAAAAATAATATAATTATAAATGTGTTTATAATTCAGGAAAAAGACCCCACTGTGACGAAATTGCAGGAAGTGACCTGGATGGCGATAAGTACTTCATCTGTTGGGACCCAGATTTGGTTCCAAAACAACACTGGAAACCAACATCCTATCAAGGTAATCTTACAACTCTGTGTCTTTTCTCAAGCCCAGAGATTAGAATAAACCCTAGAATGTGCATAAGAAAAACAATAATGAAAGTTTCAGATGTGGTCTATCCCGTAAAAGGTAAGTCAATTTTTAAGAACAGAATGATTACTGAAAAAACACAGTTGACAACATTTAAATTGAATATTCATTATACAATAACTCGAATAGAATAAAACATTTACTGTATATCTGTCCAAAGACAGTGGCCCGTGTTCTGCTTTTATTCTTTCCTGTGGCTGAATAATGATTCTGCCTGAATATTATGAATAAACGTTTTACAGCAGAATTGACATTGTAATTAAAATTATAGTAAATAACGATTGTGTTCTATGCCGATACTCATCAACGCTTGTTCAGCATCTGGATGTTTACACATCTCACACCCCTTTGTTATCACAATTTGTTTTCAGTGTGTGATAGACCTGTGTACCAATCAATGAACAACTAGCATCTTTGAGATAATAAAAAATAATATAATAATAAATGTGTTTATAATTCAGGAAAAAGACCCCACTGTGACGAAATTGCAGGAAGTGACCTGGATGGCGATAAGTACTTCATCTGTTGGGACCCAGATTTGGTTCCAAAACAACACTGGAAACCAACATCATATCAAGGTAATCTTACAACTCTGTGTCTTTTCTCAAGCCCAGAGATTAGAATAAACCCTAGAATGTGCATAAGAAAAACAATAATGAAAGTTTCAGACGTTCACTAATAAAGTAAATCTCTGATTGTTCCATTTTGTAGAAATATTATATAAGATGTGTGGTCATGAAATTTTAAATAATCAAAACATCTACAAACACTTTTATTTATTGTCTTTAGGAGGGAAGTCGAAAACGCAGAGTAATATAACTACCGATGACCTTATTAGGTATTTCGCTTATTACGACGTACGTCTCGTTGGAAAGTTTTCAAATCTCCTAGAAATGTGGGCCGATATTGCTGGCATTGATTCACCTCAATGTATGGCTCTCGCTAATTTATTCAACCATGCCATTGACGCAGCCAAAACTGGTGAAAATGTTAAAGTTCCAAAGAGTCTGATGGTAAAATCTCGGAAAGGTGAAAAGATGTTTGTTTGTGAGAAGATGGTTAATAATGCCAAATGTTTGAGTGGGGACATCAAAGAAAGTGTTCCCAAAATCGAGAAGGAGATGAGAGAGGAATATGGTGAAGAATCAGAAGAATATTCAACTTTTGTCGATGCTGCTTCACTTGTCTACAAGGCAAGTTATACTGCTCCTCTTGACGATATAGACGTTAACAATCACGACTTGGCATTACGGCGTAGTAGAAGTGGGATCGTAAGACTCCTAATGCTAAGGCATGATCTAGAAATCCGTGAAGAAACAACTGTATTGTCAAATGAAATAATGGACGCGTCCGAAGAGACCATTTCTTCTTTATTACAGAAAAACAATTGGCCTGCCGATGACTTTAAACTTTTTCGGATGCTGTACAAATGGTGTCAGAGACATGAAAAAATGAATCTGCTTTCGAGATTTTGCCAGCTAATTGACTTTTCGACATTCACGAGACTACAGAGAGAATTGGCAATGGTTGATTGTCCAGATAGCATTGAACAAATCCAAGGAAGGCATTCTGGTCTTCAATCTTCGTCCATTTTGTCTGCGGAAGATGTTGCTAATCTCAACTCTGAAATATCACCAACAAAATGGTCTTTGGTGTACACAGTGCTAAACCAAGATGAAGAAATATTTTCATGGGAAGATATCTTAAGTAAGATGTCAGATGATCTTCTGAAATTACTTGTGTGCAAGTTTGACCTCGGTGGCACCTGGGTCATAACAATTTTTGTACCGGGAGCACTTGAACTTTTGCAGACGTCAAATGACACTACAACCTTGCCTGATCTGAGAGCATTTGTGTCAGTTCACGGATTTAATTCTCAAAATTGTATAGTAAATAAAGAAAATGTTGTACATGCAGTTCTTTTGCGTCGTAGCAGACTCCAAATCTACCCTGCTGATCAATCTACAAGAAATACATTTATTTGTATGATGGAAGAGGATGGTCGTACCAAGATGAGTGTTGCCCTTCAGAATTTCTCCAGTGGATTTAAAAGACGGTATCCAGATATATATCTGAGGCGCGAACCAATCATATCCTGTGAAATATTTCTAGGATTTTCGGATGTTAGGCAGTTACCAACCTATTTTGTAACAGACACAGATCCTCCGGAATTAAATCCAGAAATAGAACCTCCTGAATGTCCAGACTTTTTATATCGCCAGGAAGAATTTCCTGTTGTATCGAGTTCACGAGAGGCACATACTGAACATTCTAGGACCTGGTTTCAAGAGGTTGACAACAAATATAACGAGCTGAAGATGTTGGCAGCAAATGGAACGTTACTTAACTCGCAACTTCAGATGTTGTTTGCAATGGCCAACGGAGACTCCGAAGTAAGTCATCATGAGATCGTGAGATTCGGTAATCAATTATATTCAACCCAAATTTTAAAGGAAAGAATGAACTGTGACCTGCAATACATTGGATATTTATTTTTTTGGAAATAAATGTATAAAAAACTTTAGAAATTACATAGTATAATGTAAATTTGGCAGTTATCATGCTCCAATAATATGAATGATGATGAGGATAATGATGTTTATGATGATGATTGGGGCGCTTCGAGACATTTCACTACGGCATAATAATAATAATAATAATAATAATAATAATAATAATAATAA